GTGATAAGGCTCGGCCTTATATATATATATATATATTCCTAAATCAATTTCAATTATAACTCTAATTAATTAAGCCAACAAAACGAGTTCAAATAATTCAATTAACACATGATAAAGTCCTAAGTCTATCCGGACATAAATATGCTTTAGCTACGTACAGACTCTCGTCACCTCATGCGTACGTAATACCCACAACTAGTAGCACATAACAATAAATATCACCAAGGGGGTAGTTTCCCCCTCACAAGGTTAGACATGAGACTTACCTTGCTCTGAATTTCCATAACCGGCTCCAAGGCCTCTCAGCACCTCAAACCAAATGCCCGTCGGTCCAAAACTAGTCAAATAATATGCAAACCAATCAAAATATATTCTAATATTCATAATTAATCAATTTAAACAATTCCCAACTCTGCACGAAAAGTTGATAAAATCAACCCTCGGGCCCATGTGCCCGGATTCTAAAAATTTTCGAAGATAAACTCTACCCATAATACCACGAACTCAAATATATAATTTATTCTTAATTCCATATCGAATTTCGTGGTCAAAATCCAAAATTACCAAATTCTAAGTTTTCCACAAAAACCCCATAATTTTTATTAATTTCCATGTTTAAATCCTTATACAAATCATGTATTTAACTTGTAACAGGTGGGAGCCACTTACCTTGTGTTGCTTGATGAAAATCTCCCCTTGAAGCTCTCCAAAAATCGCCCCAACTAAGTGAAAATGAAACAAAATGGGCCAAATTCCGTTTTTATAAAAACTTCACTGCCCAAACGACTTTTCGCATCTGCGGTCATTTGACCGCTTCTACGGAAGCTTCCTCACAGATGCGACTCCCCCAAGGCTAGCATTTTTCGCTTCTGCGGAAAAACTTCTGCACCTGCGGTCTCCCCAGCTTGAGTATCGTTCCGCACCTGCGTGCCCGTGATCGCACCTGCGGCTCCGCCGGTGTGCTACATCACCTACACTTGTGATCGACCAGTCCCAGAGCACCTCCGCTTCTATGACCCCAAGGCCACTTTTATGGGCTCGCACCTGCGGCCCTTTTCACGCAGGTGCGATTGCACTAGACACCAGCTGCCTCAGCATTTCCTCCCAGGTCCAAACTCGATCTGTTTCAATCCGATTCGCACCTGGGGAACCCGGGACCCGTAAAAACATATAAACACATCATAAAATATGATACGAACTTAGTCTAAGCCCTAAACCACGTCAAACAACATCAAAATCATGAATCGCGCTTCAAATAAAACTTATAAATTTCCAAATCGTATCAAATCAAGTCCGATTGACCTCAAATTTTGCACACAAGTCATAATTGATATTATGGACCTACTCCCACTTCCTAAATCAGAATCTGACCCTGATATCAAAAAGTCTACTCCCGGTCAAACAACCTGAAAATCATCAAATTTCCAATTTTCGCCAATTGATGCCGGGATGACTTACGTACCTCCAAATCAATCTCCGGACATGCTCCTTGGACCAAATTCACCATATGGAACTATTTCCAGGCTCTAAATCCCAATCGAACATCGATAACCTCAAAATCCACTCCAACCCAATCTTAGAAAATTCTTAAACCTTCAAAATGCCAACCTTCCGTAATAAGCACCGGAATACTCCCCGGCCACCCGATACTCGACTCGAACATACGCCCAAGTCTAAAATCATCATACAAACCTATTAAAACCTTTAAATCCCGATTCCGAGGTCGTTTACTCAAACGTCCAATATTAGCCAATTCTTCTAACTTAGAGCTTCCGAAATTAGAAATTTTCTTTCCAAATCCATTCCGAACTTCTAGAAATTCAATTCCGACCACATGTAGAAGTCATAATACCTGGAGTGAAGCTACTCAATTCCTCAAAACGCCAAACGACGCGCTAGAGCTCAAAACGATCGTTCGGGTCATTACACTATTCCTTCTCTTTGTATATCCCCCCTGACCACTAGCCTTGCCTTCAACCTTTAAATTCTTACACCTGACATGTGCTTTACCTTGTACACCCATTTGCAAGGTAGAGCTATTTTTTCTTTAGGTAATTCAACCACATCCCATGTGTGGTTATCTTCTAGAGCTTTAATCTCTAAATTCATAGCTTCTATCCAACTTGGATGTTGACAAGTGTGTTCAAAATTGTTAGGGTCTGTGAGAGTAGAGAGGGATTGCAACACATGTTTATTGTTGGGTGATAGAGAAGAGAAACAATATTCCCTAGGCTTACTTGGTTGAGTAAAACAAGATGCTACTACATCTGTGAACATGATATTACTGCATACATAATCTTTCAAGTAGGTTGGTTAATTGGAAACTCTTCCTAACTTTCTCAGTAGTGTAGGTTGCTTAGGTATAGAAACAGTTGAGCTAGTGTGTGGTGTATCTAGAATAAGTTGAAAAGGAAATGGGCTAGGAGACAATTGGTGATGAGGAGGGGTGTATGAAAATCTTGGTGATGGTGAGGAGAAAATATTAGAAACTTCAGGTTCTAAAAAAATGGGTAAGGATTGATCATGTGATGAAGGTGAATAGGTAGGTTCTGTAGTAAATATTGAGCTTGGAAATATATGATGGTGTGATGTGTTGGTTTCAACAATAGGGAAATGTGATTTATGAAATTTCACATCCCTTAACACAAATACTCTTCCCGTGGACAACTCTAATAGCTTATATCCCTTCTGATGAAGGGGATAACCAAGCAAAATACAACTTGTTGCCCTTTCATCAAACTTGCCTCTTCCTTGGGATAATGTAGAAGCATAACAGAGGCATCCAAAATTCCTTAAATGACCATACTTGGGCTTCTCTTGAAATAAAACCTCATAAGGTGTCTTTCCTTTAAGAACACTAGAAGGCATCCTATTAATAAGATGTGTGGCAGTTAAGATAGATTCACCCCAATATGACATAAGTAGCTTGGATTGGAACATTAACCATCTTGCAATCTCTAAGAGGTGTCTATGCTTCCTTTTAACAATCCCATTCTATTGAGGAGTTGCTACACAAGACAGTTGGTACAGAATTCCTTTTGAAGCTTGGAAAGCTCCCTTTTGTGTGCCTTTACCCAATTCTAATGCATTGTCAAATCTTATCATTCTGACTTTCACATTAAATTGCCTTTCAACCATAGACAGAAAAGACTTAAGCATAGGAAAAGCATTACTTTTTGCAATTAATATAAATGTCCATGTTCTTCTACTATAGTCATCTAATATAGTAAGAAAATATCTGAATCCATTGTAAGTATTTGACTTATAAGGTCCACATGTGTCTACATGTATAAGTTCAAAAATATGCTTGGATTTTATGCTACTGACTGGAAAAGGATTCCTGGTTTGCTTAGCCTTAAGACAAACATCACATATAAACTCCGAATTTGACTTAAAATGAAGGAAATCTGAATATTTCATTGCTGAAAATGGGAGGTGTCCCAATCTTACATGCCAAAGTTTAACATCAGAAGTAGCATTAGCTTGAACTGGACTAGAAACAGACTCTGAAATGGAATTTCTTCCTTGTGAAATTGAAAGTACATTGCTACTACATAGACCCTTAGACTTAAACCTTCTTGGCTCCAATAAGTAGAGTCCCTATCTAACTTCACCAAAAGCTTGTGGACTCTTCATTAAAAGGCCCTGCAATACACACACAATAGATGTGAATAGGACATCATACTTGAACTGAACACAAAACCTATGAACTGATAATAAGTTATATTTGAATTCTGGAACATGTAACACATTGTTCAAGATATGACCTCTCAGAATAGAAATACTACCTATATGAGTAACAATCACCTTGAAAGAGTTAGGTAAACTGTTATTTAAAGGTACAAGAAGTGGAGTTAGAAACATGAAAGAATTAGGATCAAAACACATATGCTCTAAGGCACCTAAACTAATGATCCAGGTGTCTGATTTTAGACTAGTAAACACTAAACCTAAGTATTTTAGAATAGTACTAGCAACTTCATTAGCATTGATTCCTGTATTTTCTGACTGTGCTAACTTTGCCTGCTTATACATGTGCATCATTTCTGCAATTTGTTCCTTGCTGAATTACTATTGTTGAGTTCAGTGCTTTGTCATGTTGAATTCTCATGTTCCTGATGTGTTAGGACTGCATTTCCCTTAATTTGATTCTGATAACCTTTGTGATTGGTGAACTCAAAATCTTTTGAAAATCCAATAATTCTATAGCAGTCTTCTTGTGTATGTCCTGTTGTTCCACAGTAAGTACAAGACACATTTGGATTGTACTTCTTTTTCCCTTTAAACCTTTGCTGAGGTTTGACAAACTTTTGTCCTGAGTTTTTATATTTGGGTGCTATGGCTGCTCCTCTTTGTGTTTGGTTTCTAAGTTTCTAATAATTCTTCACATGTCCTGTAATCATAAAAACTGCAAATTCAGCTAGAAGTTGTGCATTAGGCTGCTTGGCTTCTCCAACTGCCATGAATGATACTGATTCAGAATTAAGCTTCTCCAACTGCCATGAATGATACTGATTCAGAATTAAAATGTGCATTTGCATAAACTTCTCTTTGATTTTCATCTTGCAAGAGAAGTGAATAAGCAACATCCATGCTAGGCAAAGAGTTCATCATGAGTATATTTCCTCTTGCTTGTGCACAGATGTCATTTAATCCCATTAGGAATTGGATCAATCTATGATCCTCAAGGGACTTAGTCAACTTTGCCTTTCCTTCACAAACACAAACACATGAACAACATATGATAACATTTAAGGTATCTAATTCATCCCACAGTCATTTGAGCTTAGTGAAGTATCCTGCAATGTCACTGTTTCCCTATACTAATCCTGCTAACTCCTTTTGCAGATGATAAAACTTGGCTTCATTTGATCTCCCAAATCTCTGCTCCAGGATGTCCCAAAACTCTTTTACAGTTTTGGAGTATATCACACTATCTGCAATATCCCTTGAGAGAGCATTTAGGATCCAAGAGATGACCATGTCATTCACACAACTCCATTGTTCATGCTCTGGAGATTTCAGATCTAGAGATTGACAGGCTCCATTGATGAAACCAAGTTTCTTCTTGGCTGACAAAGACAGGAGAATATATCTCCTCCATCTTGTGTATACTCTTCCATTAAACATAGTGTTGACTAGCGTCATTCTAGGTGAATCGGAGTTGTTGAGATGACTGGGGTGGTTGACATCATAGCTGATTGATTTTGCAACATTGTTCGCACCACCAGTAGATGTGATGATTGTCTCAGGAATTTTAGGTTACTGATTTTGATAATGAATCTGATGTAAATGAATTTGATGGTTGGACTGTTGGATTGAGATTATTGCTTTGATACCATGTACGAAATTGAAGAAGAAATNATATATATATATATATACTTACAGATGCAATAAAGAATAGCAAAAGAAAGAGGCTATGTACAATTTTCCTACTCTGATTTGTCCACCAATAACAAAAATATTCTATTCCTATAACAAATTATATTCCCTCACATTTTAGTCACGTGAGGGAAGGAAGCTTTTAGTATCAATTTTATGAGATGGTGTATAATTGATCTATCATAAACGCATCCAAGGGATGTGAGTTGTCCACGTGTCCCAAACATTGAGCTGAGTATAACTTGGGTTATATCGAACTCAGCATTTGGTCGGAACAGTCACGACTTCTAGGTCTTCTTCTTCTTCACCCTTCTTCTCTATCTCTAAGCACATCTCCATGAATCTTAGAATTAGGATGGGGTTTCTTCCAACATCTTCTTGTATCATATCTATGTACTACTACCTCCGTTCCAGTTTACGTGAACCTATTTCCTTTTTGGTTCGTTCCAAAAAGAATGACCTCTTTCTAAATTTGGAAATAGTTTTGTTTAAACTTACAATTCTACCCTTAATGAGAAGCTTTTATAACCCCACAAATACTCTTGGTACCTTTCTGAATTGTTTAGGACCATAAATTCCAAAAATCTTTATTTTTTCTTAAACTTATTGCCACAAACAGATTCACATAAATTGAAACGGAGGGAGTAGTTAATTTTGTTAATTTTTGTCTTTGTGAGTCCTTCGGCAATTTGTGGATAAATAATCAACATTTTGTAGTTAATTTGTTAATAGATAGCTTCATTTTTGGGGATATTCTATCCCCCTAAATTTATCGTTTCATCTTGCAGCTAATTTTTGCATCAAAATTTGATTAAACAAGCAGAATGGAGAATTACCGCTCTTTGCCAGAAGCTTTGGTAACAAAGATTCTAGTGAGGCTACCTGTGGAATCTCTATCACGATTCAACTGTGTGCGCAAGAATTGGTATTACAAGTTCTTCTTTTGTTCGAGAACACCTCAATCACTTGGAAAAAAACCCAACCCGTCTTTGATTACACTTTTGCGACATTCCCTCACAATCAAGCAACTCTGTTCTGCGGCCTGAGAAAATAAAATATTGCCCGGTGTGATTTCCCTACTCAATTGACTGAGATCTTTGGTCCCGTCAATGGTATATATTTCTTGTACAAAACGTTGACTTCTGATAATCGTTTGGCTCTGTGGAACCCAACTCTAAGAGAGTTTAGGCCACTTCCACCAAATAACATCAAAATCAGCATGCCTCGCGGTCATTTTAGAGATATATTTGGCTTTGGGTTTGATCCATTAAGTCAAGATTACAAAGTGATCTACGTTATGAATTTTTGGAATGAAGAAGAGTACTGGAACATTGATCGTGTGTTTGCTGCCGTTTACTCTTTAGGCAAAGACTGTTGGAGAAATCTAGCATTCATGCAGCTTTGACAATACATGGAAAACTCTCCTTGTGCTCAACCTGTGTTAAACTGTTAATGGAGTTTATTATTGGAGTACATTAAGCAGTGGTGCAAAATGAAGTGTTTGGTGAGATTCCAGGGCCTAATATATCAGGTGTCATTGATGCTTTAATTACTCTCTTTAAGGAGTCCATTGCCCTGCTAGTGCGCAAGGATATCAATGACTTTATTTTTGCATATCAGATTGATGTATGGCTAATGAGCGACGAAAGGTTGTGGACTAAAGTTCTGAATGTGGTACCTACAATACCTAAATCTTGTCCTATTGGTTTGTGGGGTCATGATAAGATTATTTTATTATCAAAAGACGAAGTTCTTGTAATCTATGACTCAAAAACCCATGAAATTACACATCTACTTGATTCTAAAATAGTGTATGATCGCACATGGGCTTTAAGTTATAAGGAGAGTCTAGTTTCCATCAAAAGCAAAAATATCTTTGATCTCGTTCAAGAATTTTTTAAAGATGAATGACGTTATTTCTAGTGATTTCTATATGTTCTTTGCTAGGGGCAAATATGGAAGACTATTGCTATTAGAACAACAAATATGTTATTAGAGGTGCACCAAGTTTAGCAGGACTTAGGTGTTATTAGAGGTGCACTAAGATGTACAGGATGTTCAAGGTGGGCAAGGTATTGATCAAAATAGGCAGAATTCTAATCAACCACTCATGATTTTATAGAGTGGTAAAATTGCTGGTAATGTTGGGGAACAATGGAAAGAAGTAAGAAACAATAGGGTTAAAAATATTACAACCCATAATGCAACACAAGGTGCTACTGGACAGGAAATTGTTCTAGTAAATCAAGGTGTAGGACAGCAGGCTCCAACGGAAAAGGTGGCAGCTCAACAGAGGTGCACTAAGTTTAGTAGTTCTTTGTCATTCAGTTGATCCTTGATTAAGTATGAGATAACGTGTATTCAAGTTTGTTTTATATTTTCTATTGAAGTAACCATGGTGAATTTTTTGTTTTATCAGAAATCATTTCTTTTTATATTCCCCTCCGTCTATTTTAGTTGTCATGTTTCTCTTTTATATGTTCCTTAAGAGACTACTCCTTTCGGTCCACTTTAATTGATTTTTTTGGTTGTTTTCACACATATTATGAATTCAACTTTTGGCGTTAAATAACAATCAAATTGATCATATTAACCTTAATTTATTTATTAAAAATATAACAAATACTCCTAGGTTCTTTTGGCCCATTTGGGTGGAGCAATTTAGATTTGAGCAGAGTGGATGACTCTCAAGAAGGTTCTAAAGAGTTAAAGATTTATATGTAAGCAATTGAGAATTTTTCAGATTTGTATATCGCTAGAATCAATTAGTTACATTGGAGGGTGTCGGGGCTTGCGTTAATTCTATATGACTATGGATTCTACATTTCAGTATAAGAAAGGAAAGAGGAACAATTTTAATTTCACATAAGGTCTTTCAGAGTGGGTGTCTCAGTTGTGGTATTTATGGGGGTGCTTAAGAAGAATACAACGGCTTATGGGCCTTAGGGATGTGTGGTTTTATGTTAGGATGTCTTGTAGTGAGCTTTGGGTAAGGATCGTGGAGTTCTGACAAGGAGAAGTGCCAACTTTAGGGTAATTCAGAAGAAACTCGGAGAAAATAGGACGACTGAGTAGTAGGCTGGACCAGTATGGTATGATCGGTTCTTTGGGTACCTATGATGTGGTGAGGCTCTACAAATATTTTAGTGGAAATATTCTTGGATTTGGTAACTTGTGTGGCTTGGTCGAGTTAGAGGAATTCAAATGGATTTTAATGTGCAAATAGATTTTAAAGTGTTCTTGATGGTTTCTACCATGGTTTGAAATATATATTTTCTACCGGTATGCGGAACATGTTGTGTATTGTGATTTTCTCCTGGAAGGAAGCAAGAGGAAGGAATCTAACTGATCGGGTATGTAATTTGCTGGTGACCCAGAGTTAATAATGAGATTCTTGTGCTTGTCACATGATGGCATGATAGATGTGGTGTGTTGTGCGGGATTAAGATTTACATGTACAAGATGACAGTTCAATTTTGAAGGGAAGGTCACAAATTTTGGACAGAATGGTCAGTTTCAGATATTTAGATGAATGTTATAACTGCTCGGTAATCCCTGAGAAGGGTGCGCATTTCAGAAGGCACACTGTGTTTTGACTTACAAATGTTTTGTTGGTATTGCGGTATTCGCTTGGTTGATCGACTGCTGATATTTTTGCTATGTGGCACGAGATAATTATAGAAGTATTCCTTGTGGGATGATCGTGCATGAAAGATATGTTAGTCATTCTAGTGCTGGAGTTGAGATAAGTTACGGTGATTCATGTGTTCTATGAATTTGGAGACTGGGAGTTCTCAGAAGCATATTGTTTCAGGGTTGCGGTCTATTTGAGGTGAGCATTTTATTTAAACTCAGTGGAGGCACTAGTTGCGTTAATTATTTGTGATAGCTACGTGCTACGAGTGCGCATATATATGTGAGGTTTGAGCCCATGTGCGGGTATCGGGGCAAGTATTCATACATGGAAGAGTGCTTAGGCTATGATATGCCTAAAATTGACTGTTAAGCATAAAGTTATAGCATTTCTTGTATCCGTACCTTTTTTGAGAATTACCTGGGCTATACTTGTGGTTACAAAGAGGCTACAAAGAGGCTAATTCCTTGAATAACCTTGGTAGTTGCTATTTCTATGTTAACTTGCCGAATTTAGTTGTGATAGCTCACTTTGCACATGCCTACTCTATGGCGTGTTATTTATATCAGTCCAAGAGCATAAAAGTATTATTTCATTTATCATATACATGTGTACTTATTTGATTGCTCTTGTATAATATGCTCGGACTGGAGGCATGTGACCATGCCAGGCGGATTATGTTATTGGCACGTAAGTTATCCGTGCGGGTCTAGATATTGATACTATAGCACGTGAGTTGTCCGTGCGGGTGATGCTAATGTGAGCTCTAAAAGAGCTGGTTACCGTTAGTAGATTCGTGTGTCTTAGTTCTTCTATATATGATGAGCTCATAGCATTGCGGTTGTAGTGGTGCTTGTTGAACTTGCGAAACGACTCTCTTCTTTGAGATATTTCCTATTTTTGGGTGCACGGATTGTGCAGTTGTGGCTTGAGTTATATTGGTGTGGTGTATCTGTGCAATAGTTTTGTTTGATAATATAAGGTCATTGGACCTAGAATGGGTACTACCAGGTTTGATTACAGCGTGTTGGAAGAATAATTTAGAATTCGGCTCAAACAATTGGCTATGGTACATGTTGAATGAGGAAAAGCTCTGTGACCTGTTGATCTGGTGAGTGGTTGTGAGTTCCTGTATATTTCTTTCATTATCGTCAGTCTACGAAGGTTTTGGAATGAGATTCTGTGGAATGTGGGGTTTAATACTAGTACTTGGTTGGTTTGGAGTAGTTACAGTGATCGAAAATGGTGCTGCGAGAATGCGAGTTGTGTAGTATGTTATATGAGTGGGGTTATAGTTATGGCTTGATACAGCTTATTCAGACTTATACAGTGTGTAGATATGAGATTCGGGTCTTGAAAAGAATTTTTGAATGTAGGAAATTGAATTTCAAGGTTTACGGACTAAGATTTAAGTAATGATCTTCAATCATGGTGTTGTCAGGCCTATATGGAATAGGGTGGCGTGGTATCACCCCCGGGTATATGCGTGGTAAGGTGGGACAATAATTTGAAGGTTTAGGAATAACTCTTGGCACGCTCGAGGACCAATGTATGTTTAAGAAGGGGAGAATTTAATGACCCGACTTGTCATTTTGAGAATTAGCGTCCCGTCCGGTGGCTTAAGGTCTCGAGCAGCTTCGTAATATGTATTATGACTTGCATGTGTGGTCGAGTTTAGTTTTTCGGATGATTTGAAATTAAATCGAGAAAGAACACTTATTATTTTAGAAGATGAAATAAAAAAAGAAAAGAAGGGTTGACTGGAGTTTGACTTTTGTGAAAACGACTCCAGAATGGAGTTTTGATGATTCTGTTAGGTCAAGATGGTGATTTTGGACTCGGGCGTATGCCCAGAATTTAATTTAGATATTTCTAGAATGTTTCGATGCCGTTTCTTCAAGCTTAAGTGGTATCACATTAAGCAAATGAGTTCCAAATTCAGTGTTGATTGAAGCATTAGATCCGTATTGAAATTACGGAGCCATAGGAAAAATAATCGTTGAATTCAGACATCGTATGAGAGAGTTACGCCCATTTTCGGGAGAAATAGAAAAGATTTCCCATCACCAGCGCCCAGGGTAGCGTGGGACGCTAGCCCTGGCGCTGGGATTTTTTACGTTCTGGAAACAAGGCCACAGGTAGCTCCGCACGCTACCTGTGGCGCTCGAAATGTTATTTACTCACTTCCGGGGTTCATTTTCCCCATTTCTCTTGGCCGAAATTTGGGATTTTCCTCCACTCTCTCAAGACCTCCAACTCCTCCCATCTTCAAGGTGAGTAATTCGTACTAATTTGGTGTTTCATCCCATCAATTTTACCCTAAAACTCACTCAATCCACCATAAAATCCTTAGATCTTCAAAAAATTTCTTCAACAACTCAAAAGAGAGTTTTTGGCAAGATTTTTTTTCAAAAGGTAATCCTATACCCTTAGACATATATGCATGGATTTATTATGAGTATGTGAGAAAGAAATAAGTATTAGCACTTATTGGATGGTGCTTGGAAGCCAAAAATACTTAAACTAGATTATTGGGTGTTGTAGAGATTCTGTAATAAATTAATTAGTAACAATTGGGTGGATGTGAATTCGGTAATGATTTTAATGTTGCTAAAGAAGGTTGTTTGTAGACAAAGGATGATTTAGTATCTCTTGTTGGTAGGAATGAGGGATTGTTAGATGAAGAAATACCATTACTAGAGGTAGTAAAATGCTATATACTCTAGGTGTTTGATAAATTGACTAATGACCAAATATCTAGAAATGTGTTTACTAATATTGGTCCAATTGAATTATGTTGATATAGATTGAAGTTGTAAAAGTAGTGGGAGGTTTTAATATCACTAAAGAGATGAATTAAGAAAGCTCGATTTGTGAGGATCTTATTTTCGAGGGATTTTCAAGAAAATCATAGCGATTTGAGCCGTTCCGAGGTTGGTACTCGCATAATGGACTTTCTGGAGCATTGTTTAGCTTGCTCGATATTGGACTCGGCTTGTTCGAGGTAAGTAGCATTTCTAAACTTGTAGGTGAGGGAATAAACCCCGAAAATACGTGTTATATGATTTGTTTGGGGGTGACGCACATGCTAGGTGACGGGCGTGTGAGCGTGTACCATAGAAACTGTGACGTAATTGATTCCGTGAAATTGTGTAGCCAAATAATCTTGGCATTGTCCATGTACTTTCATGTGTTATGGAAATCGATCTAAGAATCATGTTGAGGCTATATGCCAATATTATTGGGACCCACAAAGGTCATGTTGCTGTTGAATTATTTGTTTAAATTGTAATTTCATACTCAGTCATATACATTCATATCATATATCAGTCTATGTTGTTATTTATTGATATATCATATCATTATTTTGGGCCAGTTTTATGACATTGTGAGCCCGAGAGACTGGAGCGATTGATGACTGAGTGAGGCCGAGGGCCTGATTGTGAGGAATATGGGATCGGGCTGCACGCAGCAGCAAGCCATATTGGATTTATATACTTTATTATTATACGGATCGCGCTGCATCCCGCAGCTGTCCTTATAGGCTTTATTATTATATGGATCGGGATGCACGTCGCAGCAGGCCTTATAGGCTTTATTATTATAGGATCGGGCTGCACGCCGCGGCAGGCCAGATTGGCTTATTATAGCGCTTGGGCTGAAGGAGTCCCTCCGGGGTCTGCACCCCCCACAGTGAGCGCATATGACATTATGTTTGGGATGGATTTCCTAGAGCATGGAGTTGCCTTATTTATTTATGTTTGGGATAGACTTCCTAGGGCATGGAGTTGCCTTATTTATTTATTTATTTATTTATATTTGGAATGGAGTTCCCTGGACTGGATTGGCCCTGTACAGTACTGAGTGACTGAATGTTAGCTATTATGTATATATATTTGGGATGGATCTTCCTTGGGTTGCTTATCCATATACAGTACTGAGTGACTGTGTGCAAGTTGTCATTTATATTTGGGCTGAATCTGCCTGTACAGTGCTGAGTTACTGAGTGTGTTGAATATTGAGTGTGATGAGTGAAAATGCGAGACAATGAGATTGAGTACTCTGAGAGTGTAAGTACATGAGTTCATCACTGTGATGCATTGCATTAGACATACATAATTGATATGTAGGCATAGAGAAGTATTTTTCGTCATGCCATCTGATAATAAAATTTTTTATCTGTCATTAAAGTTTTTGAGAAAAATCACAGATTTCAGACTTACTCATATTTTCGGTGATTTTCGGTAAAAAATTTGAGTTTTACTGTTATACTTAAAAAGAAAATACTTAATTTTTTTTTTCTGAAATTGTATATGAGTTGAGCATTTTATTGTTGAGTTATTATTGGTGTTACTTTCATTATATTGTTATGAACTGTTGCTGGCTATTGGTATTGTATGCTGACCTTTGTTTCAGCTCGTCACTATCATAAAAGAAAAGTATAGATCTCTTCCATATTTGACAGATCCCTTTCTTGGAGAAAAAGATTGTGGACGTGTATAAATTAAGGATACCTCCTTCATACACGATACAATGTAATTTTTAAGAGAGTTTTATTTAGGGGAAGACTGTTCTCTCAATAGTTTTCTTTTTGTTTTATCTTAGTGATTATCTTAGTGATAAATCATATGTAGGTCAATTGATCAAATCATAATAAATTATAATGTCTTATTTGACATTTTTCTTTTTGTTATCTGATTTACCGTCGCCAAAGTTTACTTTCACATTATGCTTTGTTATTTTTTATCCCAACACTAAAAAAATGTGGACTATTTTATTGGGATTTCTAAGGGATATTTAATGTTGCACATATATATCCTTGATATTTTTGACTAATGTCTTCGAGTCTAGATGAGCTCTATTTAAAATAAGGTTGTCCAGCCTAATCCATGTTAGCCTGCTGGCCTCATTGGGCTAGGTCGGGGTGGACATGTGAGACTAAACATTAGAAAAGTTAATAAATATTTTTCTATAAGGAAATAATTTTCACTTATCAATATACTACAGGAAAACATTTTTCTAAACATATTAGAATGGAGAATTGTCTGTTTCTTAAACCAAAAAGCAAGACCGAAATAAATAATAGTAAGAGCAGTAATAAAGAATAAATAATAAATGAATAAGGGATCACACGATATCACTATTCAGAGCTGACCTTAGATAAAAAAACTACCATGAAAATTATATGAAATTAAATACCATAACTCTTATTTGTATTTTGCTTTTTATAGTGCTAGAAATCTGCACAGATGGAACATTTGGTAACCAAACAGCAACTTGATAGAATAAACAAATAAGGGAATCCAACACCGTAGAATGGTTAAGAGCTGACTTAATTTTGAACAGCTGTTGCCTTAATTGGTCGTTCCCCACTTATTCTTTCTCCAGCTCATCACAAATGTATTCCACCTTCTGAAATCTCATTCCAATTTTAATCTCTTTTAGTCCCTCTTCTCTAGTTTCCATAATTCAAACAAAATTTAGGCAAAATATGATGCATTCAGTTGGTTATCTATACATAATTATCTGGCTTCTTGTTGTTGTTGTTGTCATTGGATCTGAATCAATTAGTACTTTAGACTCGCCAGCAAAAAGCTCAATTGATTCTTTACTTCAAGAATATGCTTTCAAGGCATTGTCATGGCCAAAAACCAAAACTGGTACTGCTTACAATGGATCTGTTCCTTCCAATTTGGCTGGGATTAGAATTTCAGCTTTGATGCTTAGAAGAGATAGCTTAAAGTGGAGAGGTTATGGTTACTTTAATGAATTTATTATCCCAACTGGGATCACTGAGGAGCCTCATGTAACAAGAATTGTTCTGGTTTACCAGAATCTTGGTAATTGGTCCTCATTCTATTATCCTTTGCATGGTTACACTTATCTAACACCAGTTTTGGGTATTTTAGCTTATGATGCAATGGATATGTGTGCCAAAAATAAACCAGAATTGCAGGTTCATGCTTTGGAATTTCCTATTAATATTAAGTTTAGTAATGTGCAGCCTGCACCAGAGGGGTCTTTGATCAAGTGTGTTCGTTTTTACTCGAATAATTCGGTCGAATTTGGCAATGTGACAAATGGAAATGAATGTTCAACTAGAAAACAAGGCCATTTCGGCATAGTTGCTGAGTTGAAAATTGCTCCTAGTCCTTCCCCTTCTGCTGATGGAAATAATAATCAACTTAGCTCTACAGTGTGGACTATTTCATTGGGATTTGTAGGTTTTGCTTTCTTGGGAATATTATATATTGTTGCCCAGAAGTTTATATTAGTGGAAAGAAGAGTAGTTTTTGAAGATTCAGCAGCAATAATATTTGAGCCCTTATTGGGGGCAGGGGCAGCTATTGAGCAAGCGGAGGTGACATTGCCATTGCCATTGCCAGACGAAGGTCCGAGCAGACGTTTGCCGGAGAGCGATTATGCGACTAGACCGTTGCCTGAGAACGACTATGTGCCTCAGATATTAAGCAACTTCAATCAACAATCTGACGAAGAAGATACGTTGCCGGATAATGACTATGCGCCTCAGATATTCAGCAATTTTGGTCAACAAAGTGAAGAAGAAGAAGAAGATGCGTAGTGTATGTTCATTTTTCCTGTATTCAAACCACTAGCTTGGTTACAGAGGTACTACTTTTTTTTATCACCTTGTATCATATAATCTAATTTAAGGTGCAAATTGAGGTGGCGTGGTGTAACATATATAGTTCCTCAAATTACTTTAATTACCTTGATTATGTGTATGACTTAACCCACATAGCACACTAAAAATCAAGTCGTGCCCAAATCGATCAATGCAGTTGTCTAAGTTTGAATCTTAAAGTGCCAATCAAAATATATACATATTATTTCAGATATATAAACATTTATACATGCATTTTTTCCAAAATTATCAAGGGTCAGTGACCCTCCTAGCCTAAGGGTAGGTCGACCTCTGATTGGGATGTAGGATAGAGTTGAAACCAATCCTGATTTAATCATTCACTCTTTATCATTCACCTCTACTCTTGTAATGACCCGAGCAATTATTTGAGTTTTAGCATTTCGTTCGGTAATTTGAGACTTCGAGGGGTTTTATACGGTGTATTATGACTTGCGTACATTGTTGGTTTTGATTTTCGGGTGGTTCTGGATGGATTTGATAGAGCGTTTTCCAATTTGGAAGTCTTAAGTTGTAAGAATTGACCAAGGTTTGACTTTTGAGTAACCGACCTCGGATTGGTGATTTGATGATTCTAATATGCTCGTATGGTAATTTTGGATTTGGGGGTATGTTCGGATCTGAATTTGGATGCTCCTAGAAGGTTTTGGCTCTATTTGTAAAAAGTTGGCAATTCGAATAATTGGAGAGTTCATAGGTTTGGCCGAGAGTTGACTTCGGTATTATCGGGCTCCTATTGTGGTTTTGAGACCTTGTATAAATTTGTTTTGTTGATTGAAACTTGTGTGCAAAGTTTGGTTGTTATCCGGAATATTTAAGTGTGATTGAGACGCATTCGACATATGTTTGAAGGGATGATTTGTTAAGTGTGTGTTTCGAGCTCGGTAAATTTTGGCGCCATTGCCGGCAAAATTTGAGGAGCGCAAAACACCACTTTAATTATGCTCGCTAGTCAAAGATAGTATAGTATAATATCGTATCCACGTGGATTGGAGTTAAACAATATTTTCGTAGTTTCTAGCTTGATTACTATTCAGGAGAATCAACACTTAGAGATTTATATGATTAATAACTAAAATTAATTAAGAATCTAAACCTATTGACTAATGACTATCACAACAAAGGTAAGCAAGGAAGTTATCGGTGGGGAAAAATAGGGGTTGATAGGATATGTGCAAGATAATTATTTGGGATCTAACTCTAGATAATTCACTTCTAATATTTAAGTAAGTCTCTCGAATTCACTCAATTATTAGTTCAAACGTTTAGTAGAAACTCCTCTCTCGATTAAGTCTCAACCTCACAAGATGAACCAATTTAAGCACGTGAAGATATGCAAGAATGCGTAATGGATTGGTCTTTAGGAAAACCTCTTTCGATTATCCTCCTAACTACGTTTAATCAACAATTCAACTAGCCTCTTTTGATTACTAAGAAGAATTAATGAACTCAACCAACAATATAATGCAAAGATATTACAAGTTATGCCTCTCTCGATTACATGAACTAGTAAATATAGATGCAATAATTAAATCATCCAAAAATGCTTCAACACATAAACTAGAGTTATAATCCACAAACAATCATTAATACACCAAATCCATCAAACCCTAAAGAGAACTACTCCATAGATATGGAGAAATTCATCACAAATAAAGTTAAAGTAGAGGAAAACATAAATTCAATCCAAACTCGGGTCTTGAGTGAGGAAGGAATGATGAAATCCTTGTGCTTTTGCTCTTCCAACTCCTCCTTAACCTCCTTAGGTCGAATATGTGTCAAAAGTCCAGGAAATAATATTTTTCATGTATTATACATAGGCTTGTCCACACACAATTTATTAGTTCCATGTATAAATTTCACAACAATAAAGAGTAGTTCCACACACAATGAAATTTAAGAACAATTAGGAACTCAAGATATAAAGAATTCACTCACTCTCAGAAACAACATTCATATGGCACAAAAGACGTACCATAGGCTTGTCCGTAGTGTACTACTCTACTAATTGATCTCATCCAGTCAAGAATAAAATAGGACTTTAATTGGTTGTAATGTAGGTTGCGGGATGAATATGATACTTTTGGATATAAGAGTGACTACACCTCCCTAAGCACTTTAATACATACAATTTATTGTTCAAAACCCCACACTTATATCAAACCATAACTCCACCTTCACATCAATATACATTAACTCATACTTTTTTAAGCACAATTACATCAAGAGTTACCACTATCATGGAATATTTTTCACAATTATACACTTATTTTCTTTCTTTCTTTTTCAATTCAAGTGCCTCTTACTTTTTCAAACTAGTGCACCTTTCTCCTTATTTCATTAGTTCTACTCAAAAACCAAACCAACCACCCCACTTCCACTTTTACAAAGTTCATAATAATTTCAAGTGCCCACGAGAGGTAAAAGGTTCAAATAGATAGGAAATTCGAACAAATGAGTAAGGCTTGTAATGTAGTTGCCGAAGAAACGGGATTACATGCTCAAAGGGGTTAACTAAGATACATAACAATTAGATGGGTAAAAGCATATAACTGGCTCAACAAAGAAATGCCTATATCATTTCCAAGACTGAATAAAACTACTATTTCGCTTTCTAAACACACAGGGCAAGTTCTAGACATCAAATGTAATGGACAGAATACAAAAAACCTCTCACACACATGGCACATAACTCACTCAAGATCGGACTATCAAGACACTCTAGTCAAATCAGTTAAGCAAAGTTAAAATCAAACAATTTAAGGTACTTATACAAGAGTAAAAAACGGAGCCTAAGCATCACAACTAAAGCACTTACCGTTCTCAAGGTATAATAGAGTCAAGAGATATTGCCTTCCATCTAAACCATAGCACAAAGTTTCATACTCTTAATAAAAATAAGAACTAACTATACCCGGTTCAAACAAAATCCTTGAAAATGAACCGCGGCACAAAGAAAAGCCAAGGGGAAATTATTACACTACCTATAAAACGAAAATCTTTTTGTCTTTTTCTTTCAAATTTACTCCCTCAAGAAACCCGTCGAATGATATCTATCATCGAGAAAAATCAAAAATTTAAAAAATAATATGATATTTTCCAATTTTGTTTCTATCTCTAACTACTAAACAAAAACTACACTAATGCATATACATACAACATACAACATATACCTCACCCCACACTTTAAGTTGTGGCATGTCCCCATGATAAATATTTAAAAAGCATAAGGTAAAGAAAACTTCCCTGAACATCTAGTCGGGGTCTGAGTCAAAGTCGGGATCCATTCCTCGCCTTCAAACTAATGCTCACATCCATGCCGACAACTTCTTCTTAGCCTTCTTGGGGTGCACCCCCGCCTTTTCTTTTGACGAACTCTTCACTTTCCACTCAACACTTACAACTAGCTTCTCCTTTTTCACTCCCGTTTCTATATTCATCTCAAAAGTTACAGTCTCCTCACCCACTCTAAGCATGAACCTTTTCTCGTGTATATTTAATATTGCTCTACTCGTTGCTACGAATGGTCTTCCTAAGATGAGGGGGACCTCCTTGTTCTCCTCCATATTCACTACTATAAAATCTACATGAAATACAAACTTTTCTACTCGAACTAAGACATCTTCCACTATCCCCTCGGGTATTAGAGTCGTTTGGTCTGCCAACTGCAAAGATATTGGCATTGACCTTATCTCTCCAATCTTCTTCTTCAGTTTCCTGTAAATAGATAGAGGCATTAAGTTAATTAAGGCATCAGAATCACATAAAGATTTATCAAAATTAATAGAACCTAAAGAGCAAGGTATAGTAAAACTCCCTGGATCTCCACACTTTTGTGGGAGCTTGTTTTGCAATATAGCACTGCAATGCTCTGTGAGCTTTACCACTGAGGTCTCCTTCATCTTCCTCTTCTTTGTCAGGATCTCCTTCAATAATTTAGCATAAGCTGGCATTTGGGAGAGAACTTCTGTGAATGGAACATTTACATTAACCTATTTCAGCATATCCAGAAATCTCTCAAATTGCTTGTCCAGCTTTTCTCTATATAGCTTTTAAGGGAAAAGTAGAGCAGGCATATGCTCGCTCTCATTAGATTCATTCTTTCTCGAAGTTTCCCACTTTCTCATTTTGTCAGCTCCCTTCTTTCCTTTCTTGTTTTTATCAATATCAATCTTCAACTGCTCCCTTTTTTCCTTTTCAAGTACCACTTCATTTTGGATTGGAGTGGTATTTTTCAACACTTGCCCGCTTCTCAAGGTCACAATAATTACTATTTCTTTGGGATTTCTCTTAGTATCAGCAGGGAGAGTTCCTGGAATCCTCTCAGACAATAGAGTGGCTAGCTGCCTAACCTATCTTTCCAAGTTTCAAAAACCAGTACCTATTGCTTTGATAGCCGCTCCATGTTTCCGTATAGCTGCGCTATGAGTTTCAAGCCTCTCATCAGTATTGATAATGAAAGCCTTCATTAGATCCTCTAGACCCGGCTGAATGGGCTGTTGAGGCTGAAATTGCTGCCTCTTCTGATTTTGGTATGCTGGAGCTCCTTGTCGCAGTGGTCTAGAGTTATTTTGTTACCAAGCATTCGCAGTACCTCAATGTGAACTCCATGAAAAACTAGGGTGCTTCTGACCCATCGCATTATAATTTCACAGAACATTTACTTCCTCAGTTGAGGCTTGACACTCATGAGTAGGATGTCCTCTTCCACATATATCACAAGCTGCGTGAGGCTCAATTTGTATCAAGTCTAAGGTTAGATTCCTTATCTCTTTGGCCATAACATCAAGCTGTACCTGCACAAATGTCGTAGCATCAACATGGTGAACACCAGTTGGCCTTCTTCTTTCAGCGCTCTCAGAGGGCAACTGATTTGCATCTTTAGATAACTCATCAAGAATTGTGACTATCTCCTCGAGATTTTTCTTCATCAACGGACCATCATCTGTATTGCTCAATACTCTATGTGAGGCTGATGTCAATCCATCCCAAAAGTCCTGAAGTTGCATCCAGAGTTCAATT